AAATGTATAATATATTTTAAACGTCAAAACTGTATCTTTTATGCTATCAAACAGTAGCCCGAAATTTAATTACTCCAACCAAACTCTACACAGGTTTGTACATGTCTTATGCGATGACGATATATTGTTTACAATTATAAATATTTTTATTTATATATACATATATTTAAATATATTTTTAGCAACAATTTTTTTGCCATTATCTGTTGGTTTTATCAATTTTTATCGCTTCAACTTTATCACTTGCCATTGATCATCTGTGAAAGAATTGCAGTTGCTGGTGCAAAACATTTTCCACTTTTCACTTTTAATAAAATTTATTTACTATCTGCAGATATTTCTTGTTGCATATTTAAGGAATTTGTTTAGTTTTGATAACAAATTATTAATGTTTTTATATTATCTCTAATATGTGGCAGTCAACATGCTACGGCTCTCTGATCGGTCGTTGTACAAATTTCCTCGCATACGAGTATCTTGCATTTACTAATAATGATTTAATTATATTATAATTAGTTGTTTATATTAAAAATATAAGAATAAATTAAATTTATTTTAGAATGTATTACATATATAAATACGTAAATCTAAATTACTGTTATATTTAAAATTTTGGTCCATAAATCTGAACTCAGTTGAAGATTAATATGCTATTAATTTGTAACTTATTATATTCATAAATATTTATATTTATTTATCATATTTTAATTTTTATAATATTTATAAATATTATATTTATTTATATAGAATATTATTATATATTAAAATTTCAAATGAAAGAGAAAGTGTTAGAAAGTTATTTCTCAGGAAAAGCATTTCGCTTGGTATACAGGTTTACTTATGCTTAAAGAATTGGGCCCGCTATGATGCTACAGATAAATGGAACCGCTGTGATGCAGTGAGAATTTGAAGACATGCTAGTTGACTGTAAGAAGTTTGGGTATTATAAACCGTAAAATTAGTTTAAACATTGTACTTTTTATAAAAGTACAATCTCTATAATGCTTTTATTTATTTAATCAAACTGTTATTTCAAAAATAAAGATAATATAGTAAATCAACATTTTCTGAAAGGGGCCAGGAGTAATAGAGCAGAAGGGAACTATTTTGATAGAAATCCCCGAAAGGAGCCTTTATCTGGATGACATGTTTACCTTTTACAAAGCGACCAATTAGTATAATAATTGTGCTAGAGAGCTCACAGCTTATACGAATTATCCTTGCTTACGCTAAAGGTGCCGACTTTAAAGAGGGAAAATGAAATATTCATTGAGGCTATATATTGGTTATAATTTTTGTAAAACTGAATAAATCTGACGCATCGTTGTACACAAAAAAAAAATTTATTCAATAAACTAATGGTTGAAGAACGAGTTGCCGTTGCGTCTATCATGTTAATCTTAGCATTCATTCTATGACATGTTAGGTTTACAAGTTTACAAGAAAAATAATGAAAACAAAAATAAACAGAAATTTTAAAAATTAGTTGCTTGTGGTAAGGTCATTTATTGTCAATGAGATATGTCTTTAGATTTGGATCTTTCACTGATATAGTAACGATATTGTATGACATTTCGATAAATATAAATGGAATAATAAGCGGTACTCTTTTCGATTTCATTTTCCTTAAAATTTTGAGAAGATAGTTGGGCCTTTCATAATTAGCCAGAGTGATGAACGTATTTTAAAGATTTATTGAAAAAAGAAGTTGTGGTCTAATGGTATGATGGTATAACAGGTTTTTAAGTCAGGTTTTCTGAAACAAGAGTGCATAACTTGTAAAAGTTGTAATAACGTAGATCCATGCTTCATATATTGAGTTATTCCACTGTCTCGAGAAAACAAAATTTATTTTAGAAAACTCCACCTCGTTCAAATTGTCCGGGTTTGAAGTCTTGTATGCAGAATATATAGCTCTATATATGTCATCCCTGAGTCATATGTTGTCATAAGATCTGATCTGTTGCAATAATTATTCAAAAATAAATCCTAGTCCGTAACCGATTAGAACAGAACCAGTAAAGAATATATAAGTTTTTATTAAAAAGGCACCGAGTTTTCAGCTTTTTAATGTAAAGAAGCAAAGTTCCATTTATGTTGCGCGGCTGCGTAGTTTTCGAAAAATCAGCGAAATTTTTATTATTTGTGCACAATCGACTAGATTATTAATTTTTTACTCCATTTTATAAAAATATCACCTTAACTTTGATAAATATCTATGTAATGGCGTTAAAGCTTTTCTAATTGAAATCTCCGTACTTAATATCGTCTTCGGTGCCACTCCTATATCCTGCGAATGCTGATTTGGCAATGGATAATAATGGAGTCAGATATTTGATAGGCTTTTTTCATTAAGCTATATTTTGATATAGCATACTTTTCAAGATACGAGTATCAAGATTTAAGGTTGTAAAAAATTTTTTTTGATGACACTAAGAAAAACTACACACACTTTTGTTGTTGAGTTTGTGCCTCAAAGTCTTCAAGCATTCGATTAGCTGAAGTATTCTAGAGTTTGAGCATCTGAGCGGAATATTAGGAATATGCGTTCAAGGAAACAATAAGCTGGTTCATCTTTCATCTGGTCATTAATGAAATTAATTGACAACGTATCTTATTTGTCTGCCGTTTATTTAATTAAAAAATAAAATATTAACTAAATATTAAATAAAGAGGTTTTTTGAACAGAAGTGAACTACAGCAACAAAAATTTATTTTTTAAATTATTTTAATTAATTGAATTTTTGGCTGACCATACAGCTGTTTCGTGTATTGCCAAATACCCTTCATCAGTGGTCTTGGAAATAATTCTTGTATTTAATTATTCGTAAATAATTATTTTTGAGACTGCAAGTACCAGGAATCGAACTCGGGTCCTGCCAAATGTGAAGCTCAGAATCAGCGCACCTTAACCAACTGATCCAAAGCCGTACTTGACTTTTTTTGTTTGCATATTTTTGCTGGAGTTTTGTTATTAACAATTTTACTTGCTGTATTTATATATTAGAACGAAATCATAAACCAGCTGTAGAATAATTGAATTAATTATATTTTTTATTTTTAATTGTTAAATTTCAAAACTATTCTATTCGTAGAGGCATTATTTGTTGCATGATTTGTTCTTTCTTATGTATAGAACCTAATCTAGGAACGTAATATTAAATATTAAATAATAATAAATTTTATTAAATTTATGAATTAAGTTGTTTTTGTTTTATCTTTTTAATTAACAGTTTATGTTTTTAATTGTTACTTGCTTTCTATTCTCACTGAACGTCTATATTAGCTAAAGTTTGACATCGTATTAAATTTTTATTAATTTCGTTCCATTCAAGTTTCCCGCATATATATATCATATTAAATCAGAACTTTAGAACTTTAGCCGCCGCATTGTAATTGTTTCGCGTCTAACTAGGCGTTTACACTGGTTTAACTTTGGCGAGATTTGTATATTCGATGCTAATACTTATAATTTTCGAATTTGATCTGCAAACACAAAATTTTAAGATAGGTATTGGTGAAAAAATGAGAATGTATACAAAAATATTGCTAGAGTCTGGCAAATTTAGATACTAATGGAACTAAGCTACCTACATAGGGTAAACTTTGGCAAGGTTTTTATCTTCGAATGCCAATATCTATTGCTTTCGAATTTAATCTCTGAACAAAAAATTTGAAGATGTAGTTAAGAAAATGTGAAGGTATACGAAAATATAGCAAAGGTCTAGCCAATGCTGATTTAACTAAGCTCAACTTCTACTTAATTTTTATCTTCGAATGCAAATATCTATTATTTTCGAATTTTTTCCTCAAACAAATATTTTTATGTGTTGTGGAAAAATTAAGAACGTTTGTAAAAATCTTGTCAAGATCTAGCCAGTGTAGACGCTAAGTTATAAATTGATCTTACTTATTATTGTTTACTGAAACGTGGCTGTCATCGATGTTCGAAAATGGCTTACTTGCTGTGCTTGCATGAAAGCTCAAATAATGTTTGAAGCTCTATTCGGAATAAAATCAAATATTTTCATAAGGTTCATAAGGTTAGAGATTAAAATAAATAACTGAATCGATTAATGTATATCATTTTCTGAATAATTGCATTTAAAATAGACATTCCTTACGATAATGATTGCTATATTGTTTAAACAAATAACTTCAAGAAGCAAGTAACTTTTTACGTTTCCAGCAATTGCGAGGCAATGAGTACATTAAACTTACATCCACAAAAGCATTTTTACGAGTAACTGAGTAAAGAAATACATATATGCATATAGACGTCTGTCTGTATAGACATATGTATATATAGAATATAAAATATGTACTTAATATTTCTGCTGTCGTACTTGGAAATTGTTTGTTTTTCTGTATCTTTGTTTGCTTTGCTATCGTCGCCATCTTTCATTCCAAAATTAAATTGTTGAATACTTCTGCAGTTCTCTGGCTGCCTTTGTGATTTCAGTAAAAAATTTCAGTATTTCAGTATAAAAAATAATAATAATTTTTTTAACTTTATTTTCATGAGTGAAGCGAATGAATTTACGACGTTTGCATTGCTTCATTTAATAAAAAACAAAACAAAAAAATTATAATTAAAAAAATAGTTTTTTTTTCTATAACAGAAAATATATAACTATGACACTTTTCCATAAGTATTTTAAGTGCTCAATTTTTTTTCAATTTTTTTTCAATTTTTTTTCAATTTTTTATGAAATTTTTTCTTAACTTTTGTTTTTTGTTGAAATAATACTGTCGTACCGTGCCGTGTTATTAGTTTAAAGCTCATTTAAATTGTTGTTGTTGAACAATAAGTGGCAGAAATTTAAACAATTTAATAGAAGAAACTGTATAATTATTTTATATGATGGCCATAAAACACTTTTGCTTTGTCAGCTTATTTTGCAATTAATTTCGTTATATCGTATATACGTATAACGTATATTTTCGTAATAATGTTATACTTTATATTATTTACTTGTGGCTTTATAACTTCTACATACTTTTGACATTAGCGTCATCTATACTCGCATATATATTTTATTGAGGATGAAGATCGGTAGGAGTGTTGCACACAACACTGAACATTATTCACTTTGTTATATGAACTGCTTTTGCAGGAGATCAATTTTTTCACAAATTACAAATTATTCAGACTTTAGAGATTGAATGGGAGAAACTGTAACTGAGTTTGATTTTGAACTGATTTTTGTTACGATTTTTTTAACGTTTGTCTCAGAACTAAAATTGAAACTGAACTGTTAAGTTGATATCTAAAATTTCAATGAAAATTTCTGTGTTTCTTGCATTTCTGTGTTAAAAATTTTCATAGATAGGAAACCTTTAAAAAAATACGATAATGCTTATAAATAAGATAATATGTTTGATAATGTTATTTACCATATTAAAAGCAGCAGAAAAATATATATAAAATTACTACAATCACACATTAAATACCAGAACAGCAACAACAACAGTAGCAATTATATCTATCTGCATAATGAAAGGAAGCAATGCTCTTTTGCGGTTTTGGGAAAAGATCAAAATAAATTACAAAAAAAAAACAAAACAAATTTCACAAAAATCTTCCAAATATTACGAAAGTCTACATTTTTAAGGATTTCTAATTAAAGCATTAGCTTGTTGATTTTATTGTATAAGATAATATTTGCTTATAACAAATATACATTTCCTTTATTCTCAGTTGAAGACCTAAAGCCGAGAAGAATGTAAATTTTCTTTACAATTATTTTAAGAGATATTTTTTTTAAATAAATTGTTAGATCTTGAAGTTGCAAAATAAATTTACTTATTTAATTTTCTTTGTGGTTTACATTATGTATACGTAGCTTATTACACCATGAAAGATATTTTGTTAAAATTTTGTTTACTTCTTTAAGCCGCAAAGGAAACTCACACCAATTTTTTATATACAATATATTATTTTCAGATCTTGTGGTATATAATAACTTGCATCTTCCCTGAATAAGTAAAATATTCTAACATTTAAAAGGATAATAACCACCCTAAGCTGTTTGAACTGTAACGAAATTTCACACGTTATTTTCTGCCTTCAGATCTTCAAGGATCATATACTTGTTATTAATAATACTTGTTTCTTCCACCTTTGTTCCTCAACTCTTCAAACCCAAAAGTAACTTCATATACATACATACACTTTATGTATTTACTTATTCTGAGTTCTTTCGTTATGTCTCTAAGAAGACATACGTTATCCTTGATAGAAGACATAAAATTAACCACTTATTTCAATTCTCATTGCCTTTTGATGTTATTAAGACTACAGTCTTTCAACTAAATTTACAAAACCAACCAACCACCAAAAAGGTGTTTTAATTCTCATTACCTTCATTTATGGCCGCTACGCCTATTTATTAAGCAAATCCTTGTTTCATCAAATATTTAAGATAATAAATGCTTTTAAAGTATCTTAAACTTCAGTTTGACAAATGCAACTTGAGTTAGGTATTTTCATTGGTAATCATTTAAGAATTTTTATGGTCATTTCATAAATAAATTTAAGCATATAATTCATTAAAGTGATAATTGAAGGCACACAATTTAGTTGATGCCATCTCCATGTCACTTTGAAATACGTTTTAATTTACGATCAAACTTTTATCAAAATGACATAAAATTTAAACAGTCATATCAATCATTAAAAAGTTCTGGTTAATATAATTTTAATCAGTGTGAATAGGTGCTTACTGAAATGTTACTGAGTATTGAGTTAAAACTAATTAAAATAATAAAATAATAAAATTTAGTAGAAGACTAAAACTTTTAGACAAGTAATTCTGTTAAGACCATATAGTATCAGATAATGAGCAAAAGTAAAGGTGAATGAGAATGTATTTAATTCTGTGTAAAAAATGTTAATCAATTATTACATAAAACGACAAAATAATGTCTTGTTTTTCTGTTTTAAAAGTAGGCACCTTCATACGCATTACAACTATGAGAGATATTAACTATATCATCCATATTTTTTTTACAAGATGATGTAGGTGTAACCTTCAATTCCTTCAGCAAATTTTTTTTTTTATTTGCCGCAATCTGGACACGCTATTCTGAATGCTGTAAATTTGGATCCCAGAATAATAAGCAACATACGAAGAAAAACACTGATCCATATCACATGTGCGCTTCTAACCTTTTGTTGCAGCTCACTATAGTTCAAAATTTTCTTCATAATGATTCTCTGTTGTACGGGTTAATACCCTCAATGTACATCTTTAGTTTTCGTTCTTTCCCGAGATCGTTTACTGTATGGTTATTGTTGTATTAATCGATGTATTTGTAGAGGAATTTAAAAAGACATGCGTTAACATACGTTATTAACCTGTAGCGGGAATTACTAAGGGTATTTTAGTGTCAAGGTATGCTGTCAGAAATTCATCAAGGGAAGTTCTACAGAATTCTCTTCTTTATTGCGTTCATTCAGTTTAATGCATTGGTGGTATTTTAGTTCCAGTACATTTTGCATAGAGTATTCTTCTTTCCACCACCTCATAAAATTCTTTCATTAATTCAAAAATCCCTGCAGTGTAATAGATCTAAATAGTATTCTAACACAAGTAAACACAAATAATGTATACATAAAGCAACTATTTTTAAATTTTGTTCCAAAATTATAAAGAAGTTTTCGAACAGAAGTGAAACAACAACAAAAATTTATTTTTTAAATTATTTTAATTAATTGAATTTTTGGCTGACCATACAGCTGTTTCGAGTATTGCCAAATACCCTTCATCAGTGGTCATGGAAATAATTCTTGTATTTAATTATTCGTAAATAATTATTTTTGAGACTGCAAGTACCAGGAATCGAACTCGGGTCCTGCCAAATGTGAAGTTCAGAATCAGCGCACCTTAACCAACTGATCCAAAGCCGTACTTGACTTTTTATGTTCGCATATTTTTTTGGAGTTTTTTGTTACTATTGCTATAAAAGTTTTTATTAACAATTTTACTTGCTGTGTTTATATTAGAACGAAATCATAAACCACAGCTGTAGAATAATTGAATTAATTAATTAATTATATTTTTTTTATTTTTAATTGTTAAATTTCAAAACTATTCTATTCGTAGAGGCATTATTTGTTGCATGATTTGTTCTTTCTTATGTATAGAACCTAATCTAGGAACGTAATGCTGAGAAAGTCATGCTAATGTTACTCTACTAGTCGCACGGGCGAGAACCAATATTTATTGGCGAGAACCATATTTTTGTGAATAAGTTGTAATTATGTTATTATGTTATTGAAAATAATATTGAAAATAAATCAGTATCAATACTTAGGTATATTAATAGATGATACCAAAAGATATATAATAAGTCAAAATCGGTGTGATATTCTTGGCAGTAAGTTTGAGCAAAATTATTTTTTACCACCAAAACCTTAGTGATCAGAACACTATGTATTAGTTAGTTGATTATACGGCCGTATCCATATCAATATCTATCAATATATGAGTAAAATCATTTAATAATTACAAAACGAACCGTTCCTAATATGTTGGAATTGTTGAAATTTCTAAAGACGACCATCATCCATTGGTAAATATCAAGACTCTTGTGAAAGAAATTATTGGATATGACACAAGTACAATTATATATAGTGTTTTATAGTTTTTAAGCAACATTTGATGTAATATATAATAAATACATTTGATTTCTTGATCTGGTTAACTTTATATCTAAACACTAACTATATATGCTAATAATGTAACCTATGCTAACCTACGCTAATAATGTAATTCAAAATTTATAATATGCTCTCCCATAAGAGAAAGCTTTAATAAATAGAAAATTTTATATAATATTATTATAAAAAAGAACAAGCAATAATTTCTAACTTCAAATAATATTATATTTAATATTAATAATATAACAATATATTATATAAAAATTAAATATATTATTTTTTATTATTATTACAATTAACATAATTATATATACTATAATATTATAATACCATATGAATAATATAATATAAATATATAATATGATTGATATACAGTTATTATTACAGTTATTATAATATTAGGTGTAGTTTTAAATTTAATTTTTCTTTAAAATTGCATATTTATTTCAAAGTACACCCCTACACTTTATTCACGCATACGGTTAATGCGCAACTCAGCTCGAAGGCATATACCTTGTGATCAAAAAAGAACTTTAATTTTAATTTTTTGAATTCCCGCGCTTATCCAATCGGTCATTTTTTTTATTTTCACGCTGGCTACACTATTATACATATTCTGTCTGTATAATAGTTTAACGCATATCGTTCTATTAGTTTTTGCTGAATTTCATTCAAAAAAGTGTAATTGTACTGTGGCCAAAGCGATGATTTCCAACGCAGATAGTGACACCACATTCATCGAACGCATCATAACTTGTGATGAGACATGGGTCTATGAATTTGACATGCCCACCAAACAACAATCGACCAAATGGTGCTTCGAAGGTGAGCCGAAACCGAAAAGAGAACGCCAAAGTCGGTCCAAAATCAAGGTTATGTTGACTGTTTTTTCGATATTCGTGGTGTTGTTCACTATGAATTCCTTCCGGACGGTCAAACGGTCGAACGGTCAATAAGGTGTATTATTTGGCCGTTATGCGTTGTTTGCGTTTGGCCATTCGCAAAAAAAGGCCAGATTTATGGAAGGAAAACTCATGGATTTTACACCACGATAACGCACCGGCTCACACAGCGTTGGTTGTGTCGCAGTTTTTGGCCAAAAACTCCACCAATATGATCAAGCAAGCACCGTACTCTCCAGATATGGCCACGTGTGACTTTTTCCTCTTCCCCCGACTCAAATTGCCATTGCGAGGACCACGTTTTGAGACCATAGAATCTATAAAAGAGAATTCGCTGCGGGAACTAAAGGCCATACCTTCGGCGGCCTATAAAACTTGTACGGAAAATTGGATCAAGCGTTGGCATGCATGTATTGCCGCAGGAGGAGAGTACTTTGAAGGCGATAATAAAGAAAATTATTAAAAATTTAAGTTTTACGTTTTTTTAACTTCTAGTTCTTTTTTATCAAATAGTATATTAAAATATTGTAAATATTTTTATATTAAAATTAATTACACTACATAGCTCGGTCTGTTAGCTCGAATATTATATATCAAACATTAAAATTACAGGCTGTAATATGCAATATTTGTGTATCAAAAGTCTTTAATAGTAATATTTTGTAAT